TTGTCCAGACATCAATTGGTTACTACTGTGAAGAACAGATCTTACATGGTGAAAACGGTGTCTTGAAGTAGTTCGCTTCCTTCCCTTCGCTGAGGCTTCAAGATCACCCTCGCCTCGGCATTAGAAAGGCACCCCAAAAAGGCATACCCTCGTGCAGCCAACGATCGTTGCCTGCAGGCGATCTGCAGCTTTACACATGCTCTTCACCCATTTATCATACATATTTTGTGAAGATTGATGTAGTTCATTTTGATGTCCGTGGGCTCCAACCGCGGATTTAATTTATTGGTCTGTGGTCTTTCATGGGCAGACGCCAAAAAAAGGCTACAACAACTGGGGACAAAACAATTAAGGCCCATTTGGAGCGTCGCCGCCAAGTTGTTCCTCGTGCAATAACACAAGCTAGCCAGTTGGACAATGTGCACACTTTAATTACAGAAGGCATGGAGGCTGAGAGTTCCTCGTCAGGTGTGTTCAACTCGCCTGGATATACGCGCGCCAGCGCATTGGACAACTCCCCTGCCTGGCGCATGCGCGTGGCTCACTGATGCGGTTAGCAGCATTGAGTTGGAAAAGCTCCACGTCTACGTGTGAATTGCGGCAAGAAAAGAAACGATGCTTGATGTCCGTGCACGACCACACCTCCTACGCTCCGTCGAAATTGGAGACAAAATCAATCGCTTCAACTTGTACTGGTGCTAAAGGAGATATACTATAGCGATGACAATAAAATTCGTGAAATCGCGAATTAGCTCATCCTCGTGTGTACGACTGAAGATGAGTATGAATTTCTTGGGAAATGTATAGGTGATATCCGTATCTATTGCTGAGTGGCGGTCCTTAAGAAGGACACGATTATCGTGAAATCGCGTATGATCAGCTAATTCTTAATTTCTTCCGTAGAGACAGGACGACTTAGGTGCGTAATGAGGTCTTTGGAAACTGTATGGTCGTATTGGCCCGTAGACTATTGCTAGTGTTTTTGACGCGCCTAGGGAGCCATTCTCATTCTCACCGTCGTTTGTACGCGGGTCCATGTGAGATTTCCACCATAGCCATCCCTATTAGAGAGTCTATAGAAACCACTCTCCTAATTAGGGATGACAAGGTCCTCAGCAGTATTCGTCCCCTATATTTCAAATTGGGTTCGACCATTACAATCTAAAGCCAAACATATACAGCGAAACTTTGCATGCACTTTGTCTGATGGCAGTAGCATAGCCATTTTACTTGTAATTTCGACTTCCTAGTTCCTATGGCTACCCCTAGAATCACCTAAGTATTGTGTAGTACTTAGTAAATAGGGATGGGGCATGGTTACCTAGCATCATAGATGTTCATGGGTTTATGATGGGAGTTTGATGTAAAAACATACGTACTATGTATGACAAAAATTTTGTAACAAATGTAAAGCCTAGCTATCAAAAAAAAAAAAAAAAAAAAAAAAAAAAAAAACCCGAAGAAGGACTAGGTCAAGCCAAATACCTACAAAACGTATATTGCAACACCATGCCATAAATGCAATCAAAGGAGACAAATTAAAATTGTTGTGTAGTGTTATAGGGAATGCCAAAAAGTAAGGAGACAAGACAGTGAATGACCTAGTGACTTGATGCATGTGGTACGATTACATCTTCAAACTGACATAGCGTCTCGTGAAAAAATATCCTAATATTCCACACTGTTTTTTGAATTATTTACTGGTTCATTCTTTTTCTTGGCAACACATTTCGTATAATAATACTTAGTCTCTTAGTCCTTCCCCATTTTGTATAATAACGATATCTCACACCCTACTATAGTGGTACACCGCTATCTGGAACAATACAATTGTTTAAGAGATACTTCAGAAGATTCCATAGAACAAAGAATGTGTTTGTTGGAAAACCTTTACATAACTAGAAAAGTAATCTTGGCCCCAACTTGGAATATATTTTTTTTGCCAATACCCTACCTCGAGTTCTTTCATTTGGCAATGTAAGTATATTTTTGCGCGAAACACTTTATTACCGCTCGCGCGTGCATCCGCAGCGATGTTTATAGTGCTTGGTTTGTTATGTCTGTCCTGTCTGTTAACCCATGTTTGTCTGCAACTACGTGCAACGAGAGACAAAAACAGCAATACCACCGGTTCGTCCTTGCTACACAACACTGGCTTCTTTTTAAAAGGTGATTTTCGTATAATAACCTGCTGTGTTCAAAAGTATGGCGTGGAAAAAGCAAGTGAAACAAGCCAATCTTACCTCGACTGCGTCCACACGTCGCTCTGTGTATCTTGAAGGCACAAGAAGTGACAACGAAGGGCATGTATCGCCTCCTGCATGCTATCTACTACTGTAGCTAGCCTGTGCCCAACTCTCCGCAAGCTACTAGCTGAAAGAGTAAAGCCATAAAACGCCCAGCCCAACAATTAGTGGTACCGCGCCGTGCATGGGAATTTCGCCGAGAGTTTGCACTTTACTTCCTTTCATTAGAAAGTGAATGCAGTATATAGCCCTAGGCTAAATCATGATGCACACTGCATGATACACTAGGAGCTATAAGCCAATGTTGTGAAGGTCAGTGGATCGTATAGTGCGAGAGAATTCCATATATATATAATTATATTACACAATATTATTGATGCTGATGACATAACTAGCCTGAACACAGATAAAATGGAGCAGCTGACCAGCTGAACTAATGATTATGTCATGGGGAAAGTGTTAACAATTTGTTTACAATTTTTGGCAAGCGAAAGGCTTGGTAACAAAATTCAGGGAAGGTGACTGTACAGTTGTGGTTTGCTATTATTTGCACTTTTTTGCAGAAATTGTTTAAAGACTACCTGATGATCCTATTTGTACTGAGTCTGGCCATCATTGATGTAATCATACTGCTACCATACACTGTGACTGAGGCTGTGAATGATAACCTTGGGGTTAAACTGACCTCAAACCGTGAACTGCCCTATAAGACCTTTGGTGTAATTATTATGCTAATCAATTTTTCTGATCCTTTCAAGTATTTCAATTTTTGTTCAGGCTAGGGCTGAGTATCACAAGTACTTTCACTATACCTGTGAATCTGAGGGACAAGTTATTCTCTATGTAATTCTCTTTGGATATAAAGGGTCTCTGCAAGTCCTTGCTCTGCTCCTGGCCTTCCGTACTCGCAATGTGAAGGTGAAAGGTCTGAATGACTCCTTGTACATTGCTGCCTCTGTTTATGTCACAAGTATTGTCTTGACTGTCATCATTGTCTCCACCTACACTCTGATGGACTATGTCAATGCCTACCCAGCTTTGGTGGGAATGGGGTTACTGCTGGGAACCACAATGATCATCGGACTTGTCTTCATACCAAAGGTAAGTAGTAACATTTGCTACCTGTCATAAGTCTTGTATCTACAGATGGTGGGATTGTACAAGGATCCCAAGGGAGAGACCATCACCACACTGGGAACGATTGGTCTTAAGGACAAGGTGGTGTCAGACGATAATGAGTTAACTGACGAACTACAGATGCTTCGTCAAAAAGTTATGACACTTGAAAATGACCTCAAGAAAAATGTGTGTTATTAATTATTACAGCTCAAAAATTTTGATCATGTATATGCTAACTGCAGGTGCCTGCATGTGGAAATGTTGTGGATTGTATTGTGCCTGGGAAAAGAAAGGTTGAACAAACCAAGAAAGAAAACACCCTTTAAAAAAAAGAAATTATTGTAACTGACTTTATGTCGCTAGGACATTCATTATTGGTAGCTATTATAGTACAAAAGGACACTAGATGTGTGTGTGCGTGTAACATGAGCACGCATACAACACTACTGTATGTGCCGTGCCAGAAACGTAATCCAAACTACTAAGTAGGTTTCCTTCGCCAGCCAATTAGAACAAGGAGGTGGAAGTGGCTGTAGGGAGCAATCCTATTACAAAACGCAGTAAATTAGAATGCAACCCCTTAGATATGCATGCATTAAAGCTTTGTACCCATAAGCATGCTAGGTAATAACCGCTGATTGTCTGACACGGGCTAGCTAGATGGCATCGCGAGATACCTTCATTTACAAAATTCTGTTACCTTTTCAAGGTACGCCAACAGCAATCTAGGTAAGTGAGTGGATCCTTGTTAATTGGTGTTTCACGCTGTAACTTTTTTAAACACAGTGTTATGAAAAATCAAGCCAGCTGAATCAGTTTGTATGCTTTTGGATGGCTTTCTCATGGTTGTATAGGGGCGCACAGGCATGCGCAGAGAGTATTATAACTAACTAACTATGGGTATGGCTGCCGCAGGGTTCAATATTAAAAAGGAAATGCTATGGCGCTAGTGACAGGTTTCTGTGCCATAGCACAGTTTGCCCTTAGTACTTTGTTGTATTGCAGACTTTGAGCCTTGCCTGCTGAGTTGCCCTGGTAGCTCGTGGTTTTAGAGCACGCCTAGAGAACAATGTCCTCGGTTCGATTCCCACTAGTTTTATCCTGTGCACAGTTTGCAATACAACACAATACAAGGCAATGAATAGCAAACCGCAAATTCTGTGCTACATTGCATTGTTTGACATGTGCGCTTGCCTTGTGTCTACACCTCCTGATTCCTAATAATTGGGAGGTTGGAATTTTTGGTTGTATAGTCAATTACCCCGATATGCTCCTACATGGTCTGCTCCTACACTTTGAGAGAAAGGTTAAGGTTTCCCTTCGCCTTGTGTTTTGGTGTGACTTTTAGCACAGCCCGTTGAGTTCGCTACCCTGGTGAGTATAGATTAACTCATGGCTTTAGAAGAAATATACCCGAGAGGTGCTTATCTGTACCACTGTGCAATGTAAGGATTCAAGCCAGTGTGTTGTAGGTGGTGAAGTAGCGGTACATGTGGAACACATCAAATGGCTTTGATAAGTCCAGGAAAAAGATAATTATGTCAAACACACTGAACATACACTGAATGGTGAGTTTTAAAAGCAGAGTGGTAAGAGTTAATTTCCCTTGTATAACTGATTGTCTGGTATCTTGCATGTGTTCTCCACGCAAGGTTTTGTACACTTTCTAGAACTTTGCTTACAATGGGTAGAAGTGAAATAGGTCTGTACCACCTGTTGGCTTTGCAATGGGCACAATGTATGATCTTTTCCATGCCACTGGGATCGCTACTACTTGATCATAAGGAGGAGTTGAATAGGTGTTTTAGAGCAGGAGCAATCGCCTCTGCTGTAAACATGAAAGTATGGCCCGTTTTGATTAACTCTTATCATGGTACATCAGTTTAAACAACTCTTTTTGTCAAAGGACCAAGGATAATAAAGTTATAGACATATTCACCATTTACAAGTGTTTATTGCCTGAGGCTGTCTTTTTTGTTGTTTATGAACTTGTACAGCACTAATAATGGTTACATATGTCCACAAAGTTTTACAATTCTTGGTATTAGGATTAACTTGTTAGAACACTTTATTCATAAGGTTTGGCCTGTGGATAATTTGTTGTTTACAAATAAATATGCTCTTGCATGACCAGTCATAAATTCCTATCTCTGTGCAGTTTCTTCATAGCAATCTTACCTGGTTTTTGAGATACACTTGTCAAAACTGATGAACGATAACGAAAATAACTTATTTTAATCATAATGGATCAGACTGATTCGTCAGAAGTTGAAGGTAATCCACACTGTAAGTAACGTTTCAACTGGTTCCTGTTAGCAGATAGCTAGCTGGTTTTTCTGAAAAATCGCGTACTATGGCGAAAGTTGGTCTTTGGGTTTACATATATAGCTAGATACGGGCCCTTAGACTATTGCTAGGTTATTTTGAAGGCATAGCAATCATCATTCTCGCCAAGTTTGTGACATTTTGTACGTGGATCACGTCCGTGCCCATCATCCCTATGTAGAGCATCTTAACCGGCCCTCTAAATTACTATAAACAACAATAAAAATGCTGTATATTACAGTGCAGCTATAGTGATTGTATTGTACTGATGCCTAAAAATTTTAAAGCCAATGACAGCTACACAGTGCAAAAGTTGTAACTAGAATTTAACACACAATGATTGTGACATAGCACCTTATGGGAACACATTTCTGCCCTCTTTTTATTCTTCCAGTTTGCAAACATCAGACTTTAGTGATATTATCATGAAGTCCTGTAGTAGCTACTACTCTCTTGAAGGTGCGTGATTATCATGGTGCCAGATGTCTACTTTTGTCACACTACTACGGAATGGGAGTGGTGCAGTATATACTTGCTGTATTATAGATGATGATGCTGTATTTTTAGTGCAGCCATAGCGAACTGATGCCTAAACTTAAAGCCAATGAGATAGCAATAGTGGTGATTGAACTTTAAATTTACAGACCATTGTTATGACGTATAACCTCATTAATTTAGAGCCCTCTTGTTACCCTTCCAGTTTGCAAAATGCAAATATCATTTTCTGTATTTTTGAAGTGGTGGTTGTACTACTCTCTTGAAGTGTGCGATACTGTAATCATTGTGCCAGATGTCAGCTTTTGTATCATCATGGAATGTTAGTCGGTGCAGTATAAACTTGCTACATATACGCATAGCTACAATGATAGCTGCACACTCTGAATGCCTAGCTATAACTATAACTACCTATCCAGCATTACACATGACGTTATTTATCGATGTACAAGTTTTGGTAAAAATGTTTCGTTTACCTAAACCTATAGGTAGTAGCTACCTCTGCCTCTGAATATAGCACCTTTTACGTGCTCATAATACAGTTCATTATCACTAGACTAGAGTGTACATAGCTACCAAGTGAAATCCAGTCTCTGGTTGAGTCAAAGTAGTACTAGCGCTTGTGGAGCCCACACATTGTGACGGGAACGACTGCGCAGCGGATATCCATTCCCAAACTTATTATATTGCGCAAGCGCAGTCACATGCACGAACATCAGTCTTATGTCATAAGCACATTCGACAGGTAGCTAATACCATCTACTTGGTTTTCAGTTGTGACTGCATTGTGTGAAGTCTAAGACTTCTACATTTGCTCAACTAACCAGTTCTACAATGCTGCGTTCTTGGCAATCTACATACAGAATCCTTTCACCATTGTCCTCACACTTCACTAAACACTAAACAAACAGTAATGGTGGTGACAATATAGGGCTTGTATGGAGGAAATTTACACGAGCAAGCGATGTCAGTTCGAAGTATGTAGCCATCATCCATTGTACTACTGCATCATGTTCACTAGGTCACCCCTGTCTTGTCTCCTTACTTTTAATGGCATCCCTATATTCCACACTTTTTAAATTCGAATAATTTCTTATTTACTTGTCTCCTTTCCCTTTTTTTACTGCATTCACATGCATGGTGTGCAATATTGGGCATGGCCTTTTAAGTCATCGCTATATATAGGCACAAACACCATTTATAAGTTTTTATTGCCTGAGGCTGTTTGTTGTTGTTTACAAGCTTGTAATTTCTGTTTCGATGAACTCTCATCATGGTACATCAGTGTACCAAGTTTCATTGTTAGTGGGCGAACCATTAGGCACAAACACGATTTACAAGTTTTTATTTCCTTAGGCTGTTTATTGTTGTTTACAAATTTGTAATTTATGTTTCGATGAACTCTTATCATGGTACATCAGTGTACCAAGTTTCATTGTTAGAGGACCCACAGTAAACAAGTTATGGGTACAAACATCATTTACAAATTGAGGCTGGTTGTTGTCGTTTACAAACTTGTAATTTCAGTTCCAATGAACTCTCATCATGGTGTACCGAGTCTCATTGTTATAGGACCCATCATAAGCAAGTTATAGGCACAAACACATTTTATAAGTTTTAATTTCCTGGGGCTGTTTGTTGTTGTTTACAAACTTGTAATATTTACATTTTGTTACTAATGATGGGTTGTATATGTGTATGAAGTTTTATCACTCACACTTTGTTTGTCTCTATCATAATGTATTGCCTGGGGTTATTTTTTATTGTTTACATGTTGAGTTCCGAGTTTTGGCTCAGTACTGGCCTTGACCACGAATGTATGGGCATGAGCAGCACTACCAGTGGCAAAGCCTTGTGGGGATGAATCTCATTAGTTCAGAACCCAAGCGCTGCGCTCCTGGTAGCCTTTATAAACTCGTGATGCCAGAGAGAGAAGTTGGGATATGCTCTTCTGATGAGGGCCAAACAGCTGTCCAGAGCTCCGCCTCTTTTTTTTCTCTTGGCATCACATGGTCTAATATCGTCATGTAAACAAAATTGTTTAGAAGAAATATAAATGCTCTTTAAGACCTGTCATGGATTCCAACTGTGGTAACTGCACTTAATATATTATTCACCAACCAGAAAATTAAAGCAGTATTACTATCAAAATGAAAAGCACTGAAGTGCAAACCCTCGGCGCATTGTGACGCGCACGCGTGAGTAAACGCATGCGCTGTATCACTAATCGATGGGCTGGGTTTAGTTTTAGCTGTTACTCGTGGTCTTGCCAGCTCGCGCAGAGTCTGACGCGGGCTAACTACACTACTAGATAGCATGCGAGAGGCGATACACGCCCTGCGTTGCATCTTCTGGTGCCTCCGAGGTACGCAGAGCAGGCGGATCGATCAGACCGCGGTAAGCCTTCTCGTCCGTTGCGTATTTGCATATTGGCTTTTTCGCGCTCTAGCTCTGCAACGGAGCATTTTCAGAGAAAACCCCACATATTTTATGACCTTCGTGGCCCGTTGGGTAGACGGTATCGTTTCTGGGACGAACAGACATTCGAGAGGTAAGATGTAGAGTAACAGACAGACACACGGACAGACCCAAG